TATAGAATGAAACCAAAAGCTATGTGTTTAATCTATCGTATTTTCTATACTTTGTAGGAGATAAAGTTACATATGAACCTTTCCAAGGCTTTGAAGTCATTCTTTGTGTGGGAGAGACGCCTGAATCATGAGCTACAATGAAAATACTTGCTGCACTAACAAGTTGCAATATGTGGTACATATCTGATTCTTAAAATGCATTCAAATTTGAAAATATCATTATATAGCAGTGACTATTTGTGTACTTGGACTCAACTAAAGTTTGACTTTGTAATTTATTCCAGTTACAACACCTACTTTTTTGAGCATTCTTTAAGTTTTCTTTTCATAAAAGGTATTAAATTTGTCCAACATTCTTTAAGCATACGAACCTGATTGGGCTATCAGTAGTAGAAAGGTGGCCACACCCGCTCAAGTTCAAGAGGTATCATGAAAACCGTTATTAGTTACTCCTCTCTTATCAAGATTCCAGGTTTGACATGCCATGTTTTTTCATATCTAGGGTATAGTATTTTGCTTCTTGACTTCCAAATTTGGCTTTATGGTGATCGAGATCATACCTAATAAGCCCAATATTCCTACTCAGTAATAGGCTATTGGACAAAAGAAACTTAATACTACGTGATTCTCAATATCAATTGCTCTCTAATTATCATTGGTAATGATATGTTCGAACAAATTGGTGGGATCCTGTTGGATAAGTTTATGACACCATAGTCTATTATGCAATATAGGGACTAATGTTAATTTACCAAAAATTATGTGTTTGGTGTCAACCTACACATCAGTAATTGAAGGTGTTAAAAATCTTCAAGCGTTTATGTGAACTTTCAAAGAATGAGTAGAAAGTTCAGACTCAGGTTAGACTTTTGTCACAGCTTTTAAATTTTTTTTAACCTTATTATCTAGAATTTGTCTACATCTATTGATTAAATCAATTTTGATTAAGGCCCCGTTTGGTATACGGAATTCAAACTATGGAATTGGAATTGAGGGCTTCAATTCCAATTCTGGTGTTTGGTAGTACAAAAATTGTGTGAATTTGAAATTGATAGTGCAAAAAATGAATTGGAATTGGCAGAATTCAATTCTATGGAATTGTATCCCATGAAATTTCAATTCCAATTCAATTCCAATTCCATCAATTCCGTGTACCAAACGGACCCTAAGAGTTGTTTCCAACATGAACATACTTATTTATATACTTTTTCCATTTGTTTTAATCTAAATTCAACCCAATAGTTTGAAAATATTTTATTGTCATTTTTAGGCATCATTTTTATTTCTTCGAGATTTATAAGTTCGCCGTTAGGACTGTCCAAGAGTACTTGACAGGTTTTATAAGTGTAAATTATATGTTTAAAATTCTTTATGGTCTTTCGGTGGTTTTTTTATGTTTAATGATCTTTTTGTGTTTTAGAAGATGTGGGTCAAATGTGCAGCAAGGGAGATGTCATAGAAAGGAATGGTAATAGTTGAACTGTGAAATGTCTTAAGCCGAGCTGTATGATTTAAGGTAAGGTCTTGGGATTTGTGGATGTTTATATATATTTGTTAATGTCTTTTTTGTTTGTAACAATAGATTAGATTCTTTGATTTTTACTTTTGTTTATTGAAAAGAGACACAGGAAATATGTTTAGTCCTTTCATACTAAGTTATATTTAGTCCAGTGTTTCACACTACATTACATTTATATCATGGATACAATATGAAAACATATATTGCAAGAATATGCGGTGAGAAACTGTGAATATGGCATGGCCCCCTATTCAGATTGGGAGGAACAACATTTCGGGTATCTTTTGGACTCATGTGATACTTTTCTCAAACCAAACATTAATCTTTTTTCTTTCTATGAGGTGAAACTACACTTACTGAATATAAAGCAATTTTTAATACTTGAATGACATGTTTTTATAGATTTCAGTTTAACATTCTTTTTAATTGGTGAGTTATTATTCTCCTTTTGGTTCATACAACATACATCAAGCTACTTGAGGTAAAGCTATGTGGTAGTTGTAAATTAACTTACTTTAACTTGATATAGAAAAATATAGAGAGTTTCCCCATCAACACTCAATTATCCTCAAAATATAAAAAACAAAACAAGAAACACCAAATCAATGTGTCGATCAATCGAGGTTGTCAACATGTTCAAACAAGTGCATCATGTCTGAGTGCTTCTATAGTGCACCTTGGGTGTATCATTTTTGTGGACCTCACATAAAAAAATCTTTTATTTATTTATTTCATAAAATAAATACTTTATTAAGTTGTAAAGAAATGTTTATTTTGCTTATATGTAGGTCCATGGTAGACTTTAGGTTCATCATAGAATTTGCCATCATGTCTCTCTCTTTGTCTCACAAGTACCAATATCTCCATAGGCAGCTGTCTATATATTTTTACTTTCTTGATGGTTCATTTTTTCTTCTAGAGAGAGAAAACGTGATATGAATTTAGGGTGTTAAGAGGACATTAGGACACTAAGGCTTCATGATCACATGATACCCACACGAAGAAGTGGACGATGATATTGATACTTATAGATTACTTTATGAAGCCGACCTCAATAATGTAGCATTAGACTCTCTGAGGTTGTTTTAGATTGCTTAAAATTTCCCATAAGTCATTATTGGTCGTGTTTTCATTTTAAAAAAATATAAGAAAAGTCTAGATTCAATTTGAACTTTCACTATTATCCAAAAATTATATCTATGTTCCGATTCATTTATTTTGGTCAAAACAACATGGGTCAGAATTAGAATTTTTACTTTTCAATTCTTAGGTTGCCTAAGTTAATACAGAATAAATTTCAAATATGCAAAAATATTTCAAATTGAATTACCTGACCTAGCGAATATACTCAATATCAATGATACGTTCTACTTGCATTGATAATTTGATATTTATTTACTTAACTATGATAATGGCAATTTTATATTTGATATCTTCATCATAATTTATAAACTAATCATTGAATCTGAACATGCCTCTTTGTTAATGGCAGTTATTGGTGCATCACTTGAAGCTGCAAAAGCTAGCATCCAAGTGTAGAGTAGTAGTTGCTTGGCCCAAATTTTCTTCGCACTTATAATGTAAGTGGTATAAGTTTTTTGAAGATTGTTTGGTTAACATAAAGTGCATCTTTAGTAGACAAAATAAAGAGAAAATTTAAATGTTAGGCCTAATTTCTTACGGCGTACCAAATATAACTAGAACGGGGTTCATTTCTTTACTCCCAAAAACAAAACTTGAAAAAAATGATATTTCATGATTTTTTGAATCATATTTTGACCCTAACGATGTGGTAGAAATCAATTATATGTCCATGAATGTGAATTATTATTTGCATTCAATGTGAAGGATGTGTCTGAAGAAAGTGCACATCCGGTGGCATTTAGGAAAATTTTATTTGAAAAATTATTTATCTTTTAAGTTGAAGTCAAGAAATGTTGATTGAATGACTTTGAGCCTTCGTTTGATGTGATTGACATTTGTTTTGATGAGTGGATCGTTAAATAGTTTAACCAATTGAGTTTTGCCTTTTTTCTCAGCCCAAGTTTGAATCTATGTGAGAAATTCTACCAATTGATCATAACTTAAATGTTGTATTATTGTAAATTTCATCCTACAAATTTATTTGAGATTTTTTTGGGTGCATACTGATATCACTATTTGATCCTCACCTGGTGAACAAACAATAAGGATGGAATTTTTAGCAGGCAAAGCATCTTCTTGCGTCAAGGTTAACATTTGAAATTTAATTCTTCTATAAAAATTGAACAAATAAGTGATCAATCTGTGATCATGATTAGTGCTTATGTGCTTCATCCATTTAGACACTATTTGATACTCTTTTCATTGCATTTCTTCTTAAATTCTAGATTTTATTCCCTTTAATACATGAATATTGTTTTAACAATTAACCCCCATCCCCTCGAGACAAATATAAGAATTATCATTATGGATGAATATTTAATAAAATTAATATTTTGTGGCAAGACTTGATTGCAGATTTTATCGATGCTGAAGACAATCAAACGACGCAACTTGAAGATAGTGTATCCACTTTCATGCCAATGAAAAGAACACATGAAGAAGAACCCGATTTTAAAGATAGAGACAAGTCAGTCACCAAGTTAAATAGTGTCAAGGTTGAAGAAAAAAATATTATATTTGATTTGTTGATGACTTTTGTTTTATGGTTTGACTTACATGGTATGGTTACACTACACCATGTAAAAGCATGTATATGAACCTATGGTTTAGTCTACAAATACTTTATTGTTTTTACAAATACTTCATTTGTTTTATAATATAGCTTTTATTTATATTTTTTGTGTTGGGTCGTACTTTCATATATAAAAATAATATAACAGACAACACTGTACAAAAATATTCTTTGTGGGTACAAACATTGCACCTGTCATCATAGTATGAATTTATGGTCCTACTTGAAGGAAAGGAAATTGGAGTCTATTTCTAAAGAGATTTATACTACTACTTTGATGAAGGATGTAAGTTTTCTTTAACAAATAATTTGTTACTAATATATAATATAATTTTTCTTTAACCGATGATCAAATTTTAATCAATTTAACTGCAAAATAATAAACTGAGCGAATATTTCGAGACAAGAGTAGTAAGTATATCTAATTTGAATGGGGATTGAAAAAAATCATATAAAAATGATCTCACCTACCAAAGTCATGATGAGCTTTATATTGTTGTTTCACAAGTGAAGACAAAGATAAGATTAAAAATATTGTTTATAGAAGACAATGGAAATTCTTGCAACCATAACAAAATATTATATACCTTGAAATCTTTCAAAAATTTTGAAATTACAAAAGACTTTGTCGATTACACTTTCAATTTCTCAAATATTATTTATTCTACTTTGACTTTTGTGTCCATAGTGTTAAAAATAGTGCTACAAATATATTTTATTTATTCCATAAAAATATTACATTGAAAAAAAATAGTTTCGAAAAAAATTTTGTTCAGTCCCGTGCGTTGCACGGGTCAAAGTACTAGTTCATTAAATAAGTACTCAAAAACGATCAATAGCATTATCTCTTTCTTTTGTCCATTCTATTAATTGGTAATAAAAATAACTATTTTCATCTAAAAAATTACTGTATAATAATACTCCATGAGAATTTTAAAATTCTCGGTCTTAAAGCGTGGATCACAAATTATACTCCCTCCGTCCGGGAATGATGTTCCCATTTTGACTTTTCTTCATTTTTAAGAGGGTTTGACTAATGACTTGAAAGGACTAAAATGCCCTTGAAATTTTCAGCCTCACCACAGCCCACCTCCGACTCACACCCACCACCGTCAGCCCGATCATCTCCGCCAGCCCCCACTACCATCTCCCACAGCAGCAAAAATGCCACATATGTAAGTCTATTTTGTAAGTCTCCACCCCATTGCTATACCGCCGCCGCCATACGCAGATCTAGAAGAAATGTGGAGGAGAAAGAAGAAGGGGGGTAAAGAAGAAGAAAGACAATGGGGCGAGAAAGAAAAGAGAAGGAGGAAGAGAAGGAGATGGAAGAGAAAGTGACGAGTACTAATAATTGGGAAAGAAGGAAGGAAGGAAGGGAAAAAAGTGGTGGAGCCGAAAAAGAAGGAAAGGAAGGGGAAAAAAGAAAGGAAGAAAAGAAGGAAAATAAGGAAGATGAAGGTAATTTTGGAAGAATAGAGAAAAAAACTAGAGTGGGAACATCATTTCCGGATGAAAAAAAGAATAGAATGGGAAAATCTTTTTCGAATGGAGGGAATACCAATTTTATAAATACTAAGAATATACAAGTAGGGTATAAATGTGGATCAGTTAAAGTTTCACAAAAATATGTAATAATTGTAATACACTCAGAAAGAAATCTGTTTGCCGCAGGTTTATAGACATGCAAGAAAGTAAGAGTGGCATTATTAAAAACCTCTAACAAGTTGTTCAATTTTTTAACAAGACTAAACTCATTCCAATCGATAATATGATTAAGTTCATCCCTGAGAAATGAAGCAAGTTTATCTTTATACTGCAGGATCTGTGCAATTAATTTATATGTAATATTCCATCTTATTGTAATGTCTTTAGCAAATGTTATTGGTGTTTTATTCCTAGATTTATAATAAGACTTCTATGCATGAGATTTATTATGACTCCCCAAAATTAATTTTAAACCTGTTTTAGGGGCTATTAGGGGGACAACATTCTTTATTTCTAGGAATGATAGTAGTATTATAAGTAACATTATCAAAACTAAATGCAAACACTTTATCAAGTAAATTGTATTCTTTAAGAATACGTTTAAGCAAAGGAACAATATTATCACCCGTGTGAGATTCATTGAAATCATGAAATGCAAGAACACGTTTATGCATGAGCTTTGCCTTTGCCTTTGTTTGAACCTCCACAGTTCACAACGCCCATATCGACAGACCTTCTACCAGAACCAGACTGTCCCAACAGTTTAATATATTTTTTATATTGGATAAAAAATTTATAAAATATACTAGAATATTATAATATTCTAAATTTATAATACTAGTAATATATTACATTTTTAGAGTATATATTTATGAATATATTATAATTTATAATAATATAATATATTTATAATATATTTATATATGAATATAGTATATAAAAATATAAAATATATAAATATGAAAGTTGAGAATTGAGAATTTGAGAGAGGTTAGAGATTTAGAGAGAGAGGAAAGATTTTGAATTGTGGGATTTGAAAAATAAAATAAGGAATTTATAGATAAAAAACCGATATATTTCCATTGTCGTTTATGCTTCCCATTCCAAAAATTTAACCTTGACTGGTCAAATATTTGAAAGCCTTACTTTTGGACCCGTATTGGATGGAATACATATCAATATCGATGCGTACCTTTAGAGTATCAAATGAGGTACAAATTTTGGTGTACAAATAGCTGAATCCAATAAGAAAATACTCCCTAACAAAATAGTAGCTGGGCCCGCATCACGTGGATTGTGTGATTTCCGTCTAGTCTTCCCAATTCTTCCAACCCGTTGGACACAACAGTTGCGTGCTCTCCTTTTTCGCACCAGTCTAGACTGTGGGCAGTGAGGAATAGCCGGAATGAGAAATTTCGTTTCAATCCTTTCTCTCATCGCTACTTTTATGGCGGTGGCCTCAGCAAACCGTAATCACATGCTTGCCTTATCTACCCAACCGGAACTGAAGCTCTCCAGCTCCGCGCCGGACGGGAATCTGAATTACCAGCCGACCATTGGAATCCTCAGCCATCCGGGAGACGGAGCGAATGGGCGCCTCAGCAACGCTACCAATGTTTCCTACATCGCTGCCTCTTACGTCAAGTTCGTCGAGTCTGCTGGAGCTAGGGTTGTTCCTCTCATTTATAACGAGCCTCCCGAGATTCTCGTCCAGGTAAACTTCGTTGTGCTATTTTCAATCTCCATGAATGCTGTGGCTATTCATTTAAAAGAGCTTCATTTCCCAGAAACTCAATCTAGTCAATGGTGTACTGTTCACTGGAGGGTCTTCTAAGAAGGGGGCTTACTTTGAGGTTTTAAAGGGAATTTTCCAGGTTATTGATCCTCTGGCTTTTCTATCTAACACCAATGTACTTTCTCTTTGCCATTCTTCATAACATTTTATGAATTTTATTTCAAATCAAATACGAATAGAATTTGTTTCAACTTTCATAATGCATAAACATTAGTTTAATGTGAAAACAGTATTAGGATTCGGGACTTAACTCTTAAGTGATATATGACAGAAGCAAAGATTATGCAGCTCTTCTGGCTTCCAACTGACTCCATGTGTTTCATGGTTGAAACTTGAAAGTTATACTCCGTCCGTCCCTAAAATATGTTCCTGTTTCATTTTTTGCGCATCCCATAAAACACTTCTACTCTGCCTCAAACGCCAAAGAAACTTTCGAAACAAATTCTACCCACAATAAAGTAGAAATATGGAAAATTTTAGTCATTTTAAATGTGGGTAGATGTGTTTTATGGGATGCGCAAAATATGAAACATGAATATCTTTTTGGGACGGAGGGAGTATAAGCTTTTCTATTTTTATCCCTAGCAGGGAAAAGAAAAAGGGGTCGTCAACTCGTCATAGATGATGGCAAAATGGAATATGCAAAACTGTTACCCATCATCTATGTACAAATATGTAGAAAGGCTTTGGAAGTATCATCCTAATGATATTTCTAAATGTCTTCATCATCTTGACTTTTTTGTGTACAACAACAAGAACCAACCTGGTAAAATCACAGTAAAGACCAAAAGGACAAATGTTAGTACGGTTCGTCAGAAGAAGGGAAACCAAAAGGAAATATGGTAGACCAGAGCAAATAAAGGTAAACCAAGCAAACATCTAAGTAATCCTAAAAGCAGTACACACGCGGCGAACCACCCCTATCCCACCGTACAACTTTAAATTTTTGAATGCCAAACACTCCTATCTATAGTCATTGTTTAATTCGCTCATTGTGTATATGCAATACAACTAAATTAACTCTTAAGTTTCTCTAATGTATCAAAGCTCTTAGCCTTCCTTCTCCAGTGATATTCACCATTTTCTGGCCTAATTTTTGGCATGTTTCTCTATTGTATGCTTTCTTGATATACATCTCACACAGATAATAATAACAATAAAAAATGATTTTTTTCCATTGTACCTTGTTGAGGAAGCTTGGTAAATAGTAGCTTGCTGCCTTGCTGAATATGTAGCCCATTCTCGTTTTCTTGCAGAATGTCTTAGAGAAGAATGTTGCAGGAGATCATTTCCCTCTTCTTGCTATCTGCTTAGGTTTTGAACTTCTAACAATGATCATCTCAAAGGTATGTGTTTATGAGGATGCTTATTTTGTTTAATCCCTATTTACTGATATATGGTTCTTTATTTCTATACACTAAGTTTGTTCTTTGCACACTAAAGAATTTTTAAATATTTTTAGTTTTTTAAAAAGATCTTTTGCAGTATAAATAAGCAAACTGCATATCACAAGAAAATACGAGTCTATGACCTTGACATTCTAGAACAGATAGATATGGTTGATTTGCAAGCTAGTTGATCGATACTCCTATTTTTAGGGCTATATATCTCAAGGAAAGTAAACCTAGAACATTATGTAATAGATAAACATGCTTGAAATGTCCACTTATGGAATCTGTTGTACTTGCTAGTTGCTATTTTGAATTTTTAAGATCCTGTTTCTTACTATTTGCTACAGGACAACAACATTCTTGAGCGGTTTAATGCATCTAACCAAGCATCTAAACTACAATTTGTGGAGAATGCCAGTTTTGAAGGAACCCTCTTTCAGAGGTGTGCAATTAGTAACTAATTTGAAGATAAATTATCATGTTATGGATACTTAGGCTCGGTTCTTTTTGGTTAGAAAAGCAGAGTTGAATGTTGGAAGAAGTAGGAAGAAACTAGAAGAAGTTGGAAGAAACTAAAAAGAAGTTGGAAGAAATTGGAAGGAGTTGGAAAAAACTGGAAGGAGTTGGAAAAAAATGAAAAGAGTTGGAAGAAACTGGAAAAAATTAGAAAAATTTCAAAAGAGTTTTAAAAAATAAAAAATCTTAAAATAATTATTTTATTCACCACGGTTCTTTTGACCTTTGTTTTCAAGGTCATATTATGACTCGCGGTCTCTACGCTGCTCCATTGGTAAAATTGATAGTTTCTACCCCCCAAACCCCCACCCTAGATCGCCGATTTGGCAGTTCCAAATCGGCGATGGCGGCACGGGCAGTGCTGGGGTGGGGTGTAGGGGGTGAGGGTTTGGGGGGTTTGGGGGGTTAGGAGGGTAAGAACCATCAATTTTAGCAGAGCGCTGTAGGTGCCCCAAAATGCCAAGGTCATTTAAGGGGGTTTATAAATTTCATATTTTATTTAAAAATGTATATTGTACTTTTTAATTTTTTTCATCTCTTTTTATTTTCTTTTATGCCATTATATTTTATCCCAAATTCTATTTGTAATTTTTCACGACTCACACTCTTTGTTTACTTTTTAAAATCAATATCAATCATATAATTTTTCCGCTTTTTCAGTTTATGTCACTAATCCATGTAATAAAAAAGAAGAAAAATGAAGCAATACTTTTTACTAATCTTAGTTGAAAGAAAAATTGGACTTAAATAATATAACGGTGTCTCGACCAACAAAAATAATCTTACATCTTATTTTACATATCAAAGTAATTATAAAAATGACCCGAAACTAAGGTCTTGTTCTATTCAACTTATTTCTGCTACTTATTGCTTATTCTTTCAGAATCACATCAGATCAGATCCATTCATATTAGATCAGATTAGATTTATTCATATCAGTTTAGATTAGATCCATGATAAGAAACTTGTTTAAAAAAATTAATAATCTTAAAATAATAATAATAATAAAATTACAATAATAGCAATTGTAATTATTATTATCATTATTAATTATTAAATTTGAATAATAATAATAATAATTTGTTATCATTGTACTTAATAATAACAGTAATTGTAATTAATAATAATAATCATCATTATTATTAATTAATAATTATAAGAATTAAAATTATAATACTAGTAATTAATATTATCATCAATATTAATTAATAATAATAATAATTAATAATAGTAATTTATTATCATCGTACTTATTAATAATAGTAATATTAATTAATAGTTATAATGATTAAATTGATAATAAGATTTATTACTATTAACTAATAATAATTAATCATAATGATAATTACAATTAATAATAATATTAATTTTCAATATAACAATAATAGTATTTATTGTTAATAATAATAAATAGACCTTAACAATAATTATTTTAATTATAAGTATAATTAATAATGATAACAATCATCATTATTGATAACATGTAATAATAATAATAATTTACTACAGCAATAATAATTGTAATAATTAAAATAAAATGATAGTAATAATAATAATAATTAATAATTATAATTATAATTATTAATAGTAAAATTATTATTGTAAATATGACTAATAATAAATAATAATAAATTATTATTATTACTCTAATTATTTGAAATTTTGAATTGAATTAAATCCATTCAGATCAGATTCATTCAGATGAGATTAGCCTTAAAAAATTCAATTATGATCAGATCTGATCAGCCGAAGACAATGCATCCTAACAATGTTAATTTTGCATTAAAAATAACTTATTTAACATGATCTATATTGTTTTATCTAATTATCCAAAAATTTACATTTACTTACAACGTAATGATTACAAAGTATATACCACTTGTAAGAATTCTAAAATTTAAAACAATTGAGTTGTGTGTAATAATTCAAAATAACTTAGATTAATTTTTTAGCAGAGGAACCTCGAACGCTGGATTTGAGAAGAGAACACGAGAAGACTTTGGTTAGGGGTGGGTGCTTATAAGGGTTTGAGTTGTATTTATTTCCAAAAGTTTCCTATTATTTTTTTTAATTACAAAAATTTCACTATTTTAAAATAAGGAGGGAAAAGGAAAAAAAGGGCATAAAAATGATGCCAATTTATTTGGACTTTGGCGGTGCTTACAAGAGTTTGAGTTTTTTTTATTTTCAAAAGTTTCATGTTCTTTTTTATTAAAAAAAGTTTACTATTTTAAAATAATGAGTGAATAAAAATGGGATAATAAAAGGCTTGAATTCATTCCCGTAAAACACTTTCAATATTTTTTTTCGTATGTCTCAAGAATATTATAAAAATTTTTTACTTTTTAAATCTTTTTTAGTTTATAAAAGTCAAATAGTGAATTTCTATGGAATAAAGGTAGATTTTAATATACATCGAACATATGCACATTTAAGAAATAAATAATAATAATTTTACACATTATTTCTTCGCGTATTAAATTGATGTGTGGACATTTATTATTTTGATACACTTAGGACATGCACATTATAAAAATTATTAGTGTATGCCTATTTAAAAGTTATGTAATGCTTAATGAAAGAAAATAGTGTATAATTATTTTGGTCAAAATTTTAAAACGTTGACTAGAACACATTTCAAGAAAACATAGGTAACAAAAGTTTTAAAATCACAAAATTCCTTCAAAAAAATGAATTAACTACTTTAAGATTTTAATAGTTTACGTGACTCTATAATGGTAACTAAAATTCATATCCAAGACACAATTTTTTAATAAATTATGACATTAAATCAATTTTATATTTTATTGAGGTAATAATAATATATGAAAGTAAACCAAAATAAATTTTGTTAAGTCATTGTTGGAAGAAATTGAAAGAAGTTGGAAAAAACTGAAAGGAGTTGGAAGAAACTGGAAGGCATTGGAAAATGTTGGAAGTTAAGAGTTAATGCTGAAAGGAACATAGCCTTAATGTTGGTTATAACTTATAAGGAGATTGTTTTTGTGTCTTCACAGCTCGCTTGCCCCATATTTGTTGTAGAACTTTTCAGAACTGTTATATAGACTAATGCCAGTTCTTCTCTCTCTCTCTCTCTTGCTTTCTCTCCCACACTCTCTCTTTCTACTATCGTATCATAACTATCATTCTTGGCTCAAGATATGAAATGTGCTTTATTTAACAGGTTCCCTCCTGAGTTGCTAAAAAAGTTGAGTGAGGATAGCCTTACCATGAACCATCATCGTGTGAGTGCAATGGGTACCACAATGCATTTTCATCATTGGTGGTGCATTCAAACATTGGTTGCTTATTATGCAACTGCTCCATGATTTTTTATGGCAAAATATGGAGTTGATATTAATGTTTAAGGAAAATACATTATACATGTCCATGTTTGTCTTTGTATATCATCTCAGTTTTGCATTATCTAATTTAGTTCAGCTGACTTTGCATCTTTTTTTCATGATAAATATTTATGATCATGGACAAACAAAAGTTGCATGTGTTATTTTCTTAGCAACAAACACATTCATATTTTATCCTTGTGAAGCAGTGTGGTATTTCATGGACAAAGAAAAGCAGCATTGCTTCTTATTTTCTTAGCAGCAAACTGATAAAGCTTGAGCCAAATTGATTGAATTTAGAATGAAAAAGTGTACATCAAGTCCCAATTCGAGAAGGGGTAGTCTCCAGATTCTCAAAGGAAATACAATGAAAAATAATCACATAAGAAAATAACATGACTCTAAGTAATAAATCCCACTCCCAGGGGAGTTGGTAACTGCTACGTTACCCACCCACTCAGCCACTTAGTGGGTTGTTTGAAATGCCCATTAAGATTTTGAGCTGCTCCACTTCTGCCGGCCCACCCTTTGCCATCTTCTTTTTCCTTCTTGAATATACCAATCTGATTGGAGGCTTATCACAAACCCATTCATATTCTGTCCTTGTGAAACAGTGGGGTATTTCACCTGAAACATTTCAAGCAAATGCGGACTTGTGTAACTTTTTCAAGATGTTGACAACAAGTGCTGATAAAGACAGCAGGGTAAGCAAATAAGATATCAAATGTGACAATTTATACTCCTGCATTCTCTTCTATGGGATGCTTCTAACTTAATAATTGATTATTTAGATCTATGTTTCTACAGTTCAAGCAAAGAGCTACCCTGTAACTGCTGTACAATGGCATCCAGAGGTTTGTCCTGGTGAAAATGAAAAATATCTCTAAAAATATTCATAATATATTTGCTTTGATATACTTTTTTACTGCTACAAAGATTAACGTTTTGCATTCCATGCCGTAGAAAAATGCATTTGAGTGGGGCTTATCTAAGATTCCGCATACAGAAGATGCAGTTCGAGTGACCCAACATGTTGCCAACTACTTTATCAGGTAGAATTATTTCCTTCTCTTCTTAGTAATTGTAGGAATTGGAATATATTTGCTTAGGTCTTATCATTGTCTTTATGAATGAGAGACATTGCAATTTTTTACTGAACAAAGAGAGGATTAAGAGTGTAGTATCTAAAATATAATGTTTTAATTATCTTCCATTAGCTTTCAGTAATCACAAATGGATATACTTGCTGATATGATTAAGTGGGCTACATCCGTATAATTAGCTCAATACTGATAAGGGTTTGGGTTTACTCGATATTATCTAACAGTACTCACAAGTTGGAGCATATATTTATCGCTAAGATAATAAACCCGAGCACCACATTGTGCAAATGTGAACAATCCCCATATATTTATTGTTTCCAGAATGCCAGGTCTTCAAATATCTAGTAGAGATTATGCCCTTTTGGATGTTTTCCTAGATGACATGATAACTCAATATGTTTTGTTATGTCATGAAAGCCTAGATAACGTGCAATGTGTAAAGTAACCATTATATTACACCACAATTTAGCAGGTAATTTATCATGATTCTTTTGGTTTGCACTCGATCGATATACCATGTCTTGTTTCTTACGTTTCCAAGAAAAGTTCCTCAGAGCTAGTCCAATTAGTGTTTACAAAACAAAATTTTTTGTGTTCATGATGTTGATTGGCAATCCCTTGTCCTGGTGCACTCAAGTAACAAAAAAGATATTCTACAACAGCCAGTGATAAATGATTAGGGATGCCATATACTGTACAAGCTTACGCAGTAACTAGATGAGGAATGTCTGGATGAGTCACCGTAAGATAATTTAATTTCCTAGCTAATCCTCTAAATCTCTAATATTCTTCAAATTCGAATGAGTTGTATGATATGTTAGAAAATATAGGAGTACTACATGACCTTAATCCTAACATTCCTTTGTAAATATATCGAATACTCCATATATAATTATGTTGAGGTAGGAGTGTCCCTTCTTGTTGCTTCAGTTCCCAAAAAATATTTCAATTAATTGACTAAGAAGTATGAAAGAATGTCTTAAGAACTAAAATTCGAATTGCATCACTTCTTGTAATCACAAATTCACAATGAGTAAGTTAATACATGTGTTCCATTGTTTGCCAAAGATAGAGTGATTTGATTTCTATTTAACCAATCTAGATCGCTCTTCTTCTTGATTGAACTTCTCACTTGTACCTTGTTTAATGCCATACGAAGATCTTGAAGTCTACAAACTCTTGTAAACTTCCTCTGAGCAACAAACCTTAGATGTTGTGCTCCATATAGACTTATTTATGAAGATCTCCATGTAGAATGGCATTCTTAGGGTGTGTTTGGTGAGTCAGACTGGTACGGGTTTTCATGTCTTTGATATCAAGTTCCCGAAATTAGTGCTTGGTGAACAAAAAAGAGGCTCGTCTTTCAAATCAGGTGATAAGGAAACTCTCCCAATAATCCATGCCTCGATAAGTATCCATTTCTCTCCCTTTATTTCCTCATTTTCAATTGATGTTTGAACCTTTTTGTTTCAATTTTTATCTCCATCTTCGTCTCCTTCTGCATCCAAGACTTCATTTCTTCTCTTTCTCAAATTGTTGTTTGGATTATAATTTTTTACGATTTTGTTTTCTTCACTACTGCCTCCTTCGAAATTTTTATCTTCTTCTGCGTTGGGATCAAAGACTTCTTTTTATTTATTGCCCGAAATTGGTGTTTCGAGTTTTATTTTTCAGTTCTTTTTTAAAATGGTTCAATAGCTTCTCACCAAACAACAAAGAGTGAGACTTGATTTCATTTTACTTTTCTTCAAATACTTTCATTTCAGGTTTTAGAGTCCATTCCATTTCTTTCAGATTTTAAAACTCATTCTACGGCTTTACTCAAGAAAGAGGCATTCAGGGTCTGTTTACTTCTGTTTTCTATTATCTATATTAATGTTTCTAATTTTCTTTTTTCTGTTAATTGTTTTATAGTTTTTTTATTCTTTGTTTGTGTTTTCTAATTTAGAATGTGTTCACCAACACATTTCAAAATCACACATGTAGTGTGGGAACTACCTATGGTGGTGGTCGGCGGAAAGTGGTTGAAAAATAGGTAAAACCCTATATGTAACAATATAGAGAAGCGGAGAAGAACTCTATGAAAGACATGATAAGATCAGTGTTTTGTATTATATTGGAGTACAAGAATGAAGTATATATATAAAAAAAGAGTACAAGGACGAAGATGAAGTTCCTAAACTAAGTCATGCGGCCTCTCTTTATAGTAAAAGGAGCCGACAAGTTGAGCTAATAAAGAGCTAATAAATGCAGGGTTAATGAGGGATAACAATGGGCTCATAAATAAAGACCTTCCATATTCGGCTAATACATTTTAAGGATTTCATAGTTACCTCTATTGAACTAGCCAAGAATGAATGTTAGGTTTGGTGTCCTCTTAAGTGCACTGAAGCCAAAGCCTTGGTCACAATGCTGAATATAATCCATTAAATAGTCCCTCACTTCTTGAAGTGTGACAGAGTCATTTGAAATTGAAGCAGAAGTCCTCTAAACCTAGTGCAATGTCAATTGCTTATGCTCATCCTTATACGATAAATATGTCGCCTGTAACAAAATGTGGAAGGTTGTCTTTGCCCTTGCTACATAAGAGTTTTGGCCCCCCGTCCTAATAAGAAAAGCTCTGCTCTCGTTCATACTGAGAATCACCAGGAAAAACTCGATGAGAAAAGCATATTGAAGGAAAGAGTACACTTCTCGATGTGTGAGATTCAAAGAATTGTAAAAATAATGACCCATGCACTGTTCTTATTTCACATGTTCCTTATGTTGGGCGAATTGAGTGTGGAGGCTCGACCAGGAAGGGCAGCCGGCACCCTAGTCTTGGTTCGACCCATATGGCAGTAAATTAGGTTTTTAATTTAGCCGGCCCTAATTCTCTATGTGGGCTTGGGCCTAACTTGGGGATTAAGTTTTCAACCCTAGTTTAGTCTTCATAAATAGGGATTTCTGTACTTGTAATTCTGTGAGCACCTGGATAATAAAAACCCTAGTTGCAAAGTGGATTAGGTCAGCCGACCGAACCACTATAAATCTTGTGTTCCGTTTTCTCCGTTTTGATTTTTGTTTTGTGTGTGTTCTTGTTTGGTTGTGGTTTGCTATTCAGTATTCATAGATACCCCAACAACTGGTATCGGAGCCTTAGGTTCGTGATCGTTGAAGTCTTCCCTCGGGTTCGTGGAGATCAGGTTCAAATCAAAGATTAGGGTTTCGAAGGGTTTGAAGATCAGTTCCGCCACTGTCATAGTTTCCGCTGCAGAATACGGTCTGTACTGTCTTGTGAACAGTAATCGTGCCGCCGCTGTGAACAACCGCTGCTGCTAGGGTTTTGTTTAGCCACCGCTGCTAGGGTTCCAAATAGCCGCTGCCAAGGTTATTTCGTTATTGGTTTTTTCAATCTCATATCAGTTTTTCAGCCGTGTATGGAAACAATGGTAGATGAAAAGATAAAGATTGAAAAGTTTGATGGAAGTGATTTTGGGTTTTGGAAGATGCAAATCGAGGATGTTCTTTATCACAAAGACTTATACCAAACGTTATCGGGAGAAAAGCCAGAAAAGATGAGTGATGCGGATTGGGCAATTTTGGACAGGAAAGCTTTGGGAGTGGTTAGGTTGTCATTGGCGAAGAGTGTTGCTTTCCACATAGTCAATGAAACGACTACGCATGGGTTAATGAAAGCTTTGTCGAATATGTACGAGAAACCCTCAACATTGAACAAGGTGTTTTTGATCAGACAGTTGGTTAACACCAGAATGAGGGAGGGTGCTTCAGTTACCATTCACATCAACCAGTTTAATTCGGTCATAACTCGGTTAGGATCAGTTGGAATTAAGTTTGATGATGAACTTCAGGCGTTGCTGCTTTTATCTTCTTTGCCTGACAGTTGGTCTGGAACAGTGACTGCAGTTAGTAGTGCATCTGGTACTACTAAGTTTACTTTTGAAGGAATTCGGGACTTGATTCTAGGAGAAGACATCAGACGCAGAAGTTCAGGGGATTCTTCGAGTGCACTGTTGAGTACTGAAGGTAGAGGAAGAAGGAATGAAAGAGGAAGCAACCGTGGTAGAGGCAAGAGTCAGTCCAAGCATCGGGAAGGAATTGTCTGTTGGGATTGCAAACAGACGGGACATTTTAGAAGTCAGTGTCCGAATGGTAAAAAGGAAGTGAATACTACAGAAAGTTGCTTAGACAATAGTGATGATGTGTTAATCTGTAGCGTAGAGAGTAGTATAGATTCCTGGGTGATGGATTCTAGTACATCTGTTCATGCCACACACAACATGAAGATGATGAAAAATCTGAAGGTTGGGGACTTTGGTAAGGTACGTACGACTTGGTAACGATGAAATTCTGGATGTTACGGGCATGGGGGATATTGACTTGAAAACTTCAGTTGGAGCCACTTGGACTTTGAAAAACGTCAGAGTCATTCCAAGCTTGAAGAGGATGCTTATCTCAGTTGGGCAGTTGGATGATTCGGGTCTTGATGTTAAATTTGGTGGTGGACAGTTGAAGGTGGTCAAAGGAAATCTTGTTGTTGCTCGTGGCAAGAAAAGGGGCTCATTATATATGGTCGAGATACCTCTAGAAGGAGCAAGTCTAGTTTTTGTAAAAGAAAAGGTCCGGTTCAAAGAATCTCGTGTGCTAAAGAGGGTTACCTTCGCAAAGGAGAAACTCATAGAAAGAGTACAGATTCAGGGATGAACTAGCTCGGAAGGTTCAACCAGTCAGGGAATTTTGTGACAGTGGGAGCACAGGTCGTGTTTCAGTCCCAATCCGACAGTGGGTTAGGAAAACTAGTATTCCGGCGTTGAATGTTTTTCCTGTTAACAATTTGCTTGGTTTGGAGAATGTAGGTTCTCAGTTTGTCTTAGAAGCCAGGAGAGTGATAGATGTGTCACACTCGGAGCTAGCAGAGAAAGAGAACGAGTCACGGGTTGTGACTGATGAGTTGAAGCTCAGTGGGAGCTTCAACGGGCCTTCAGATAACTGAAGAGAAGGCCGCTGCAACTAGTGGAAAATGGGGATTACAAGAGGGGATTACAAGAGTTACAGATAATGAAGACTAAGGGGCGTTGTTCGAGCCTCCTAGTGCAATGTCAATTGCTTATGCTCATCCTTATACGATAAATATGTCGCCTGTAACAAAATGTGGAAGGTTGTCTTTGCCCTTGCTACATAAGAGTTTTGGCCCCCCGTCCTAATAAGAAAAGCTCTGCTCTCGTTCATACTGAGAATCACCAGGAAAAACTCGATGAGAAAAGCATATTGAAGGAAAGAGTACACTTCTCGATGTGTGAGATTCAAAGAATTGTAAAAATAATGACCCATGCACTGTTCTTATTTCACATGTTCCTTATGTTGGGCGAATTGAGTGTGGAGGCTCGACCAGGAAGGGCAGCCGGCACCCTAGTCTTGGTTCGACCCATATGGCAGTAAATTAGGTTTTTAATTTAGCCGGCCCTAATTCTCTATGTGGGCTTGGGCCTAACTTGGGGATTAAGTTTTCAACCCTAGTTTAGTCTTCATAAATAGGGATTTCTGTACTTGTAATTCTGTGAGCACCTGGATAATAAAAACGCTAGTTGCAAAGTAATTTAGGTCAGCCGACCGAACCACTATAAATCTTGTGTTCCGTTTTCTCCGTTTTGATTTTTGTTTTGTGTGTGTTCTTGTTTGGTTGTGGTTTGCTATTCAGTATTCATAGATACCCCAACACCTTAACACTTTGTGTAAAGATGCTCAATTTAGGGGCTGTTTGGCAACTTCTGAATCGGTAAGTGCTGAACCAGTAAGAGGTATGAACCATTAAGTGCTGAACCAGTAAGAGGTCTGAACCATTAAGTGCTGAACCAGTAAGAGGTCTGAACCATTAAGTGCTGAACCAGTAAGAGGTCTGAACCATTAAGTGCTGAACCAGTAAGAGGTCTGAACCATTAAGAGCTAGTATATTGCTTAACTATGTAGAGGCAAATGTCTGATCAATTCAGATAAGAGGTCTTAACCATTCAGACTCTGTATAATACTTAACCATTCAGAGGCAAATCTCTTAACCATTCAGACATCTGAACCATTAAGAGGCTGAAACAAACAGCCCCTTAATGTTTTTGAAGTGCAATTTCAGCGAGTACTTGGCAAGTTCTTTTACCCTGGCCTCTTAAGCCGCATTGAATAGTTTAAATCTATGAAGTTCTTTCGCGTTACATCGGGTGCCTAATGAGAATATATGCTCCTGACTGCACCATTGAATTTGTTAACTGTAAAAATTCATAAACATTTGAGGTTGGCCTCCATGGTTGGAAGACAAAAATCAGGTCCAGTCCACCGTTCCTTGGACCCGTGATTGGCCTGGGCTGGAGGCCTGGTCGCTCAGGGGACACTGGTAAATAACTCTACCTGGCGTGTGGGGAGGGGGGCACTTCATTTTGATTGTCCAGCCAACCAAGAAGGGCCAACCATGGATTGCATAAAGTAACAATGTGCTCTATCAAATGCATTTATTACATTTTCTGGTTTATCAAAACTAAGATATTTCATGCACCTTTCCATTATTTGTAACTAAATACGATTATATTATTTGTGTTTAATTTTTTTTTCTTTCAGTGAAGCAAGGAAGTCTTCAAACAGACCAGATGCTCAAACAGTGCTTGACAATCTAATCTACAACTATAGTCCCTCTTATAGTGGGAAGGCTGGGTGAGTAATATTTCAGCCTCCTCTCAGAATGCACCAATAAATTTTTGGATATTTATTCATCCATTCCCCTTTTGGTTCTGCAGGAGAGGCTATGATGAGGTTTACATCTTCACCCAGCATTCTGGTTCAAGTCCTTTGTAGATGCACATACTGTGTAATACGAATTCAACTGTATGATACGGAGCACGCAAGCGAGAGCTCCCTTTTCAACTAAAGACCTGTACAGTTGTTATGAATTAATGGCAGGATTTGAAGATAAATCACCATACCCCTGCGGAGGAATGTATGTAACATATCCTACCTTTCTATAAATCTCAGTCTGTGTTTTGAAAATATCTGCAAGAAGCATGGCAAAAACATTACTCCTTTCGTCCAACAATCTCTGCCTGTGTTTTTGCCATTTGTGTCTCATTATCTTTGTATCATTCCGTATTTGTATGGTTCAAAGCCATTTCTACTTTACACGTACTTCATACACTCAGTGTCCTAGAGTATTTATTGGGGTTTTTTTCTGCTCAAAAACCAAAGTGAGGAAAATAAAAATAGAAAATGTCACAATTACCCCTAATCCAACCCCATTCTTCCGCTTACTAGTGTCTTGAGCCTTATCCTACGTAACTTTTATATTGTATGGGAGTATTATTTTATCAATGGAGTAATGACAATAAAAAAATATGAAGTTTGATCCTCAAACAATAAATGGCTCATAGCTTGGGATGAACAAAAGATCAATTTTAAGGCCATCAGTGGCCGGCCCTATGTCCAAGACATGGCATCAAGCCAAAAGGTCAAAATTATTAACTGGTCAGAACTTACTTGCTATTGCTGCACAACATTATTTTGTAGATACACAAATCTCCAAAATGGGAATATCCTAAAAGATGTGTGCACAATACGACTTAAGGAAATTTTGCCTTTTGGAGAATCAATCAAACTATGCAAGTTACAGCGAACAATGTACTGAATGGACCAAGTTTTATGTAGTTGTTCCATCACCTTAAGAAAACCATAATCAACTATGAGTTCTGTTAGACATGAATGAATTGAAATCTTGTGACTACAAAAGATTAGTGAGAACGTTGTAATTTAATTTCTTTATAGTGCATGTATGACATTTTTCATAAGTCTGATATTACCACTTTAATGTTTGCAGAGAGCCAAGTGAGAATTTCTTATGAATAAAGAAACCAATTTAGCAGTAGATATGTAGAATCTATATAGATAGATCAAAGAAAGATATGTAGACATCAAGGCTAGTCATTGATAGATTCAAATTTCAAAGGTACAAGTCTTTCGAAGACCTCTCTATGCTCCAATAGAGGAAATGTAACGCCCCAAAAATAGGCCTATCAGAGTTAATTAATTTATAATTAATTAATTACTAAGAAGGACCCAAAAATAAGTAAATTCTAAAGTTTGTCAATAAATAATGAAAATCATATCATTATGTAGAGTTCGACTGTCTGATCCCAACAGTTCAATCGGATTTCAATTTGGAGAAAGTTGGAACAAAAAGTGTACCCTAACTGGGACCAAAATTAGTCCCAATCAGGGACTACACACCAAACGGCGCCCTGTTCAATTACGCCGATTCCAAATCGTCGCTCAATCACGGAAGCTGCAAACCTGTGTCTTCTTCTTCTTCCCTGGGCTATTTAAGGACAACCCAACTCCCTCATTTCATCACCAAAACAATTCATTCTTCCTTCTATATTGTTCCTTGCTGAGAGTAGAGTGCAGTGGTGCTGTCATCTTTGTGTGAGGTCGCCGGAGCAGTGAGATAGAGTCGCCGGAAGGTTCGCCGGAAAAT